GACTTGATGACACCTAACAGCAACAACAACAACAACAACAATGGTTAATAATCGTGAGCATTTCTTCATGTTTTTGGTTGCCTGAATGTCTTCATTGGTAAAGTGTCTGTTTATGTTCTCTGCCCAGCAACTACCAGTTTTTAACAACATAAAAGGCAACTATACATCAATCTGTATTGGAATTTGTACAACCGGAATGCTCCTTAGAAGCCAAGATGGCCAGACTTCATCTCTCACACTTTAGACATATTATCAAGGGGAACCAGTCCCTGGAGCGGGACATCATTCTTGGTAAAGTGGAGGGACAGTGAAAAAGAGGGATACCCCCAACTAGATGAATTGGCATAGTAGCAGCAACAATGACTCAGGAGACATCAGAAGAAGATGGAAGGAACACAAGAGCTGCTGTACCAAAAAAATTGGTCAGTGTTCAGTCATTACAAGATGTAACATATGATCAAGACCCAATGGTACTGATGGAAGAAGTCCAAGTGTCACTAAGGCAGTAGAGAGTAAAAAAGTCTCCAGGAATGAATGGAATCATGATTGAAATGTTTCAACAAATTGATGCAACACTGGAAGTGTTCACTCATTTATGCCAAGAAAATTGGAAGACAGCTACTTGGCCAACTGATTGGAAGAGAGCCATATTTCTTACCATTCCAAAGAAAGGTGACCCAAGAGAATGCATAAATTATTAAAAAATATCAATATTATATGCAAGTAAAGTTTTGTGAACCTAATTCAAAAATGGTTGCAGCAATACATCAGCAGTGAACAGTCAGAAATTTAGGTCATATTCAGAAGAGAGTGAGGAACAAGGGATATCATTGCTGATGTCAGAAGAATCTTGACTGAAGTAGAGTATATCAGAATGATGTTAACCAATTTTTCTACGATCTTCCTTATTCACTGTCTAGCTTTCACATGCATATGAGATTATTGAAAATACCATGGCTTGTGTCAGGCACATTTTAGTCCTCAAACTGACATCTTTGCTCTTTAACACTTTAACGAGGTCTTGTGCAACAGATGTGCCTAATGCAACATGTTGTTTGATTTCTTGATGGCTGCTATGAGTGTTGATGGTTGAGCCAAGCAAAATGATGTCTTTGACAACTTCAATCTTTTTTCCATTCATATTGTTGTTGTTGTT